ACATCAATAGACAGATCATCCAAACATAAAATCAATTAGACAACAGAGGTCCTAAATGATATAATAGATCAGCTGAACTTAACTGATAACCTACACAACACTATATCCAAAAAAACCAGAATACACATTCTTTTCAAGTGTGCATGGAACATTCTGTAGTGTAGACCACATACTAGGTTACAAAACAAGCCTCGACAAATTTAAGAGGCTATGAATGATTTTAAGCATCTTTTCTGGCTACACTGGTATGAAACTAGAAATCAACTACAGAAATAAAAATGGGAAAAGAATGAACACATGGAAACTAAACATGATACTAAAAAACCAATAAGTCAACAATGAAATCAAAGAAGAAATCAGAAAACACTTTACAACAAATGAAAATGAAAACACAACCTTACAAACTTTATGGGATGCAGCAAAAGCAGTTCTAAGAGGGTAATTAATGACAATATAGGCCATCTTCAGGAAACAAGAGAAGTCTCAAATAAACCACCTAACCTACCACTTAAATGAATTAGAAAAATAAGAACAAACAGAAACTAAAGTCAGTAGAAGGAAGGAAATAATAAAGATCAGAGAAGAAATAAATAAAATAGAGATGTAAAAAACCAGCAAAAAAGATCAATAAAACCAAGAGCTGGCTTTTTGAAAGGGCAAACAAAATTGACAAACCTCTGGCTACGATCACAAAGGAAAAAAGAGACAGAATCCAAATAAAAAAATAAAAAATGAAAGAAGAGAAATAACTGACTCCACAAATACAAAAAATCATAAGAGAATTCCATGAACAGCTATATGCCAAAAAACTGGACAACCTAGAAGAAATGGGTAAGTTTCTAGAAACATACAGCCTGCTAAAACTGAGTCAAGAAAAAACAGATAATTTAAACAGGCCGATCACTGAACTGAAATAGAATCTGTAATTAAAGAAACAAAAAGTAAACTCCCTGCAAGCAAAAGTCCAGAACCTGATGACTTCACTGAAGAGTTCTACCAGACACACAAAGAAGAATTTATACTTATCCTGCTCAAATTATTTCATAAAATTGATGAGGAGGGAACACTCTCAAATTCCATTCTATAAAGCTACCATCACCCTGACACCAAAACCAGACAAAGACACTACAAAAAAGGAAAAATACAGGCCAACATATTTGATGAATATAGTTGCAGAAATTCCCAGCAAAATATTAGCAAGCCAAATCCAACAATACACAAAAAGGATCATACATCATGATCAAGTTGAATTCATTCCAGAGTCTCAAGGATGGTTCAACCTACAAAAATCAATCAATGTGATACACAAACAAAAAGAAAGACAAAACCACACGATTATGTCAACAAATGCAAAAGTGAGCATTTGATAAAATTCAACATCTATTCATTCTAAAAACTCTCACCAAAGTGATTACAGAGGAAACATATCTTAGCATAATAAAATCCATTCAATACAAACCCACAGCCAATAAAATAGTGGTGAAAAGCTGAAAGCCTTCCTGCTAAATTCAGAAAGGCAAAGATGCCCACTCTCACCACTCCTATTCAACACAGCACTTGAAATCCTAGCCACAATAATCAGACAAAGAAAGGAAGGAAGGAAGGAAGGAGGAAAGAAGGAAAGACAGACAGGAAGAAAGACAGAAAGAAAGACAGAAAGAAAGACAGAAAGACAGAAAGACAGAAAGAAAGACAGAAAGACAGAAAGAAAGACAGACAGAAAGAAAGAAAGAAAGAAAGAAAGAAAGAAAGAAAGAAAGAAAGAAAGAAAAGAAGGAAGAAAGAAAAGAAGGAAGAAAGAAAGACAGAGGGAAGGAAGGAAGGAAAGAAAGAGTATCCATATTGGAAGGGAAGAGGTAAAACTATTACTATTTGCAGATGACAGTATAATCTATATAGAACATCCTACAGACTCCAAACAAAAGATTTTAGAATAAATGAATTCAGCAAGGTAGTGGAATATACTGTTACTATACAGAAATCTGTTGCATTTTTTACACTACCAACGGAGTATCAGAAAGAGAAAGTAAAAATACAATCCCATTTAAAATCACATGAAAAAAATACCTAAGGAATAATTTTGACCAAAAATGTGAAAGACCTAAACACTGAAAACTGTAAGACTGATAAAGGAAACTGAAGATTATTCAAAGAAATAGAATGATATCCCATGCTCTTGGATTGGAAGAACCAATATTATTTAAATGGCCATACTATTCAAAGCAATCTACATATTTAACACTATCCCTATCAAAATACCCATGATGTTTTCCACAGAACTAGAACAAATAATCCTAAAATCTATATAGAACCACAAAAAGACCCAGAATTGCCAATGCATATACAATTCAGAAACACACTCACAGACATAGAAAACTATACTACAAAGCTACAGTAATAAAAATAACATAGTATTGACATAAAAACAGACTTATAGATAATTGGAACAGAATGGAGGGCCCAGAAATCAACCCAGGCACCTACGATCAATTAATCTATGACAAAGAGGCAAGAAAATAGAATGCAGAAAAGACAATCTCTTTAACAAATGATGTTGGGAAAGTTGGATAACTAGATGTAAATCAATGAAATCAGAACACTCCCTCACACCATATACAAAAATAAACTCCAAATGGTTTAAAGACCTAAATATCAGACCTGAAACCATAAAACTCCTAGAAGTAAACATAGGTAGAACCTCCCAACATAAATTGTAGTCATATTTTCTTAGATCAGTTTCCCAAGATAAAAGGAATAAAAAGAAAATTAAACAAACGTAACCTAAGCAAACTTAAAAGCCTTTGTACAGTAAAGGAAACCACTGACAAGACAAAAAGACAACTTACTAAATAGGAGAAAATACTTGCCTATAATGCTACTGTTAAGGGGTTAATATTAAAAATATAAAAACAGCTCATACAATTCAATCTTGAAAACACAATCCATTAAAAAAAATTAGAAGACCTAAATAGACATTTTTCCAAAGAAGACACACAGATGGCCAAGAGACACATGAAAGTCTTTAGTAGTTAGAGAAATGCAAATCAAAACCACAATGAGGTATCACTTCACACTGGTCAGAATGCCTATTATCAAAAAGTCTAAAAATAATAAATGCTTGAGAGGGTGTGGAAAAAATGGAATCTCCTTCACTGTTGGTGGGAATGCAAATTTATAGAGCTACTATGGAAAACAGTATGGAGGTTCCTTAAAAAATCACAAATAGAGCTACCATATGATCCAGCAATCCCAATCCTAGGTATATATTTAGAAAAGACAAAATCTTTAATTCAAAAAGATACATGCCCTCCAGTGTTCATAGCAACACTATTTACAATAACCAAAATACAGAAGCAACCGAAGTGCCCAAGAGACAATCAGCTTAACAACGTGTGTATGTGTACATACACAAAAATTGTATTATATATACACAATGGAATATTACTCAGTCATAAAAGATAAAATATTGTCATTTGCCACAACATTGATGGACCTAAAGAATATTATAGTTAGTGAAGTAAGTCTAACAGAGGAAGAAAAATATTTTATGATATCACTTATATGTATAATTTTTAAAATAATGTAAATGAATCTATATACAATTCAGAAACATACTCACAGACATAGGAAACAAACATGGTTACCAAAGGGGAAAGAAAGGGGAGTAAGAAATAAGTTAGGAATATGGAATTAACAGATACAAACTTCTATACACAAAATAGGCAAGCTACAAGGATTTACTCTATAGCACAGAGAAATACATTCAATATCTTATAATAACCTATAATGAAAAATAATCTAAAATTATATATATACACATATAAACTGAATCACTTTGCTGTATTATCTGAAACTAACACAGTATTGTAAATCAACTATGCTTTAATAAATAAAAAAGAGTAAGTCAGGACTCACAGGGAGCAGCCTTAAGCAAAGGGTAGAGTAGAACAGGGGATTGCTATTTATTTTCATATAAACTTTTACCACAATTTGACTTTTAAAAGTCACCATTTTATTGATTAAAGTAAAAACAAATTATTGTGACAAACAAACAAAATATATGTTTATTCTAACAAAAACCTTTAAAACAGATATAGAGGTAGTCTCTCTAAACTTCATACCCAGATACAATGACTATTTCTTCCCATGATATATTTTTATTTATGTTTGAACATAATATCATACTTAATATGGAAAAATTATATATACTAATTATCTCCCACTAAATTTACTAATTATAAAGATGACAACAGTGCTATGATATTTCATATTAGTAATACAATTTATCTATTTCAATTTTAACACTATGGACTTAAGCTACTTAAAATTTTTTTTGAGAATAAAATATTTGTATACTCATATATACAAAATAGACAGGGATAGCAAGGGAAGGAGACATGCTCCTGTTCTGAATTAAGAGTCCACTCCATTGAAGGTATCTGAGAGAAAAATGTTCTGGCAGGGTTAAAAATCTCTAAGGTGGAGCAAGCTGAAACATTTGAGAAACAATCAGGAGGCCACAGTAGCTGGAGCAGAGAGTAAGGGGAAGTGCAGTAGGCAATGAAGTCAGCCAACACCTTCTTTCTACAGACTTAAAGGACTTTGGCATTTTCCTAATTGACTTGAGGAATATTGCTGTTTTTCTTCTTTTATGTTTTTGCAGTATAACTGACATACAATATTATATTAGTTTCAGGTATACAACACAGTGATTTGGCATTTATAAACATTATGAGATAATCACAGTAAGTCTAGTTACCCTCTGTCATCATTTAAAGTTATTAAAATATTACTGAGTAAATGCCCTATTCTGTATATTACATTCACATGACTTATTTTATAACTGGAAGTTTGTGCCTCTTAATCACCTCCACCTATTTTGACCATCCCAACCACCTCCTCAACCCTTCTCCTTTCTGGCAACCACCAGTTTGTTTGTTTTCTGTATCTATGAATCTGCCTCTGTTCTGTTCTATTTGCTCATTTGCTTTGTTTTCTTCTTTTTTTTTTTTAAGATTCCACATGTAAGTGTGAGATCATATACTATTTATCTTTCCCTGCTTGACTTATTTCACTTAACATAATACTCCCTAGGTCCACCTACGTGGTTGCCAATGGCAAGATTTCATTCTTTTTTATGGTTTAATAATATCCTATTACAAATAATTAAATACACACACACCCCCCGCCCCACATCCTCTTTAACCATTCATCTATCAATAAACACTTCAGTTGCTTCCGTATCTTGGCTATTGTAACTAATGCTGCAATGAATCTAGGAGTGTATATACCTTTCTGAATTAATTGTTTATTGCAGTTTTGATGAGGGGAATGTCCATGTCAGATTTACACTTCACCAGGCTCAATCCAGTCGTTTTATAAGGTTCAGTGTTGCAAGTCACAGGTAATAAAAGCTTCGTCCAGCATCTTAAAAATAAAAACATAAGAAGGGGTCAGATTCTGGATATATAAATGAAAAGGGAGAGTTTCAGGATATTCTGTGTACTGAAGGTCAATACTTTTTACCTTTCCCTTGCCTCCAGCTTACTGAAGAGATCATTAAATTTTTTTTTTAAATGATCAAATTGCAGTTAAAGACAATTCAAAGCCAAAATTCAGGGTTCCAAATATTTTCCACTCTACTTCTCACATTCATCTAGGTTTAATGTGATGGGTCTTAACGCTTATTTGTTCGTTCCACCTCCCCCTGCCCCCCAACGTACAAAGCACAACGATGAAAAAAGCTGTTTGACAGCACAGAACTGTGATGGGATCAACTCTTACACCTAATAGCCATGGGAGCCTAATGACACAGAAAAGATCTGGCAGGGATCCTCAGAAGACAGCAAATTGATAGGAACACAAGTTTCCCATTAGGAACATTAGGCTACCTAGTTTTATACACCTTATCTGAATTTCCCAGTGTTACAGACTTTGAAAATACAAATTATGACTAAAACTCATAGGCCTGTATTGAGTCTCAAAGAATTAAAAACTTCAACTTAAAAATTAGGAAGAAATATTTCCCTTTATCTACATCCTTCTACCTCCTCAACTGCAGTAAACAATTGGGTCTGCCAGGAGTAAGTAATAAAAGCATCTATGTTTGAAGGGTCCTGGTTAGGTTATGTTGAGTCACATAAAACAAACAAGACATGAGCAGGCTTTCCGTTGTGCTTTTCTGTGGCTTCCCCTGCCAATCGGTGCAGTGAACAACTAACATGGAAAGCAGTGTTCTGGAAACTGGCTGGATTAGAACAAAGATAAAGCTCTTGAGATTTCCAAACACTTATACATGCATGCTCTATGCATTGTGAATCCTCAAACTCTGCCCTCTCACCTCACAAATGAGCGCTCTTCACAATGAGAGAACATATAGCCTTAACCAAAGCAGCCTATTTCAATAATACATTATGCTTAGGTGTTTAATAGAGAATATGCTGCACTTTTTGAAATGGCTTCTGTGTGTCTCTGTACCTTACTTTTCCACAAAAGACTGAAATTAAATTAAATATCGGTAAGCTAAAGAGGCAATATAGCAGTGGCATTTACATTTAAATCCCAAAAGCATACTTACTACATGGATGATATTGGTCCAGTTATTTCAACTCTTTACATTTTAATTTTTTTCTTCTATAAAAATTAATGGTATTTACCTCAGAGTTTAGTGTGAGGATGAAATGAGTAAAAACATGTAAATCACTTAATATAGTCCCTGTGCGTAGAGTCACAGAGTAAATGTTAACACTCTTATTAAGAGGTTTATTGTTCTTAACTGACAATAAGAAACCCTCTTTGTTATATTCATTTTAGTTTGATTCTGCATAGTTTTCTTCTGTTGAAGAAAAGCAACGTTTTAAAGTCAAGAAACAAGGCAATACACGGCAAAGTGCTTGGTGGCTGACCTGTGCCCTAGAGGTGCTGAGGTTTGTTGTATTATAAATAACACTGTTCACGTCATTCCTCCTGAGTTTCTGCAGCATGGTAAAGGTAATAATGTGTAACTGATGGAATTTCAAATAAAGTATTATTAAAATATTTGTTCAGTGACCTTTTTGCTCTTTACCTTTTGTCTTCTTGTGGCTGTTAACATTTCAGTGCAATCTCCATTCGTCTTATATATTTATTTCAGTTCTACTCATGATATACCCTTAATTTGTTCAGGACATCTATTTTATTTTCTTTTTGGAATACAGAAAAGATATGTAATAGTACTTATTAAGAAGTTTGTATCTTAAATTAGGAGATCCAGGCCTAGAGAAAGATATAGCAATGAGCCCATCTCTTCTTTAAAAGGGAATAAAACATCAGTTAGCTTCTCAAGGTGTATGAATTATATAAGTACTTTGGAGGACCTTTCAAGTTCCACAACCTAGCAGGGTGCCATATGGTAAGATCTTTCCTTGGTACTACTGGATGCTTTTGCCTGTGTGGGGTGCTAAATCTGTCAGTGCTATTTTTTTCCTGACAACTGAGGGAGCTGAGGTAGTCTATAAACCTATTTACATATTTACAATATTCTTAGGATATAATTCATAGATTAGAAAATTTTAGATGAAAACAGCAGAGGAGGGTAGAAACAAGAAAGCATAATTTTTCAGGAAAAAATGCTTAGAAGAGCAAGAAAAAGTATCTTCTTGTGATCCATGGATTAGGAATGACTCAGAACATTCTTACAATAACAGTCTGTTTCCACAAGGCATAAAATTTCAGAGTTGAAATCGTGCTTTGCCAGAATCTGTTGGGGAATACTGGTAGGGAAGAGTGGGTACCTATTAAGTTTACCAGTCAGAATCTAGGCTTGTGATGTAGTGAATCAGATACATTAAAGGTTCTAGGCAACAATACTTTCTTCAGAATAACATTAGATTTATAAAGTTAAGAATAATAGTTTTAGAAGTTTCAGTTCCCCACAGTCAAGATTTACAGAAATAATAAAATATACATTAATTCTGAGTTGATATCACCTGTGAATATATCTATTAATCTACTTATCTATCTATCTAATCTATCAATTCATGTCACACAAAAGGAAACTCTTGGAGCTGGGAATCTAACAGAGGTAAATTGACTCTGGCACATTTGCTTCTATTCTTTTACTTTGAACTAAATTCTTATGCATTGTTACGTATTTATGCATTAGGTAGTTCTGTATCTATCTAGCCAACTGCTCTTTCTATCGATTCATGGGCCACATTCATAATGCTTCCTCTGCAGTTTTACAATATATTTAATATTTGATAGGATAATTTCTCTCTCAATATCTTACACATATTTTTCAGTACCTAAATTAATTATCTGAACTTAAAAGGCATTATTAGAATTCAGGTTAATTGAGGAATAATCTTGCATACAATAAAGTTCATACTTGTCTAAGGTATAGTTGATGAGTTTTACAAATGCCTAATGTCACCACAATGGAGTCATAGAACATTTCCATCCCCCCTAAAAGTTCCTTCATTTCCCTATGTAGTCAGTTCCTTCCCCTCTAAACTTTAAAAAAGTTTAGAAGTAAACACTAAACCAATAGGAAGGGTTTTTTTGTTTTGTTTTGTTTCTTTTTACAAGACCAAAAAGTAAATTAAAAAAGGCTAAGCCTTAAAGTGTAAAGTTGACAATTTTCATTATATTTTTAGTTTATTTGTTAAAGAGCCTCATTTAAAAAGTAAAAAAAAAAATAAGTTTAGGTAATAGAAGCAATGTTATATAACAATAATAATACACCATTCCAACTTAAGCAGATTGGATAATGTTAAGATTATATTTAATGTTTGGAAGGAATATACTAGGTAGAAGTATCATACAGTACCTCATAAATTGGAGACTTGGTGAGCTGAAGTTTCATCTTTTAAAAGAGAGAAGCACAGGGAATTATATTCAATTTCTTGTAATAAGCTGTAATGAAAAAGAATCTGAAGATACATGTTTGTGTGTGTGTGTGTGTGTGTGTGTGTGTGTGTGTGTGTGTATATATGTATATATACATATGTGTATGTATAACTGAATCACTTTGCTGTACACCTGAAACTAACATTGTAAATCAACTACACTTTAAGAAAAAGTAAAATTTTTTTAAAAAGGTAGAGAGAGTAAGAAAACTTATTACTTTGGTGTTAATTCTGGTTGCCAAGAGTATACTGACTGAAGTGACAGTAACAAGAAATTTGTTAGAAATCAAACACATTGCCTTTGTATTAACCAACAGAGATGTCTGACATAGCCAACTAAAATACTTGGACTTTAGATATGTAATTTAATTAAAACCCAGCAAAGGTAGGTTTGGTCCCACAACCTGAGATTTAAAAAAATTAACAAACAAAAAAAGATGACTCAAAGGGTTTCAAAAACACAAATTCAAGATTCTGTAAAATCCTTTTCAATATCTTCTATCAGAAATATCAAAACCAACTTTCACAAAAGGGTAAAATTAAATACATATTATGGCACTTACAATTTATACTCATTGTATTTTCCACTCTTGGTGGATGAAGGTTTTATTTTATGGAAAAATTCTTGCAACAAATTACAGAACTCAAATGATAAAACTTTGGATATTAGGTAGCAGAAAAAGGTAACTATGAGATAATTTACAAATGGATTATATTTCCTTTGTATCAGTGACAACACATCATACATTCTTCTTATGCTAAATATTCGACAATGTGTTCTGCTTTTATAACTCCCCTCATGCCATTTCTTCCTCAATCCACTGTAATCTTTGTGCCACCACTAAAACTGACTCCTTAAAGCAACAAACATTTTCAATCCTAATTTTTGTTGATTCCTCTGCTGTTTTTAGTATCGTAGATCACTTCATATTGCTTAAAACTTTCTACTCCTATCATTTCCATAACATCAAATTGTAATTTGCTTCTAAATAATGTAAATCTTCACTATCTCTTTCATCTTCTAAATGCTGGCACACTTAACTCCAGTGAATGAACTTTCTTATGTTAAATTTCACCTTGAATTATCTCTGCCACTTTTATAACTTTAATTCGTATGATTTCAAAAGTTATAGCATTAACCATGATCTCTCTTAAGAATATTAAACGTGCATATACCTAACTTCTGGACCTCTTCACTTTGATATCTCAGGAGTCTTTTTAAGTCAGATGTCTAAAATGAAACTCATACTCCTTCCAAAACCATTTCCTTTTCTAAATTCCATGTGTCAATTTATAGTTCCACCAACAATCTTAACATCTACCCAGAAATCTTGGCTTTTTTTTTTAACCCTTACACCTTATTTACAAATCCTACTGGGCAAGTTTACCTAGCAATTATGTACTGAATCTGAATAACCATATTTATTTTGGGGTACATTCTGCCAATTTAGACCCTTACCTTCTTCAGCCAAGAACGTCCAAATAAACTATTAATTTTATATCCCAGATCTCTCAAATCTATTCTCCACACTATCAACA